TCCAAACATTCTCCACTGAAACCCTATCATCAGCTGGCTGCCAGACGAGCTCAGCTGCCTTCCTTTGCAGTCAATTTACATCTAATTTTTCGAAGCAGTGCAACTTGCGTTCATGTGGTTTCAGTAGCCTTGTTTCTAGAGTGAACTTAATAACCACGTGGTCGCTCTTTCCGATTGGGGGGTAGTAGCCGACTTTCTGCACATCCCTATCGTACCGTGTGATAACAAGGTCCAGCAGAGATGGTTGCTGTCCAGACTTAAAACGCGTATTTTCTGTTACGTTCTGATGCATTGCTTTGAGATGCAGCCAATCTACAAAGCCCTGCTCCTGTATATCTTTTGAACAACTACCCACGTCCCATTTTACACCTGGTAGGTTGAAGTCCCCCAGTTTAACTAGCTTATGAGGCATCCGTGCCAGCATATCCAGTGCTGATCGGAGCTGCTCGTTCTCCGTTTCCATCGCACTAGGACTCCTATGTACATATGCTATGTTGGTTTTGTACCCCTCAGCGGCGACGGTGACTGAACACATCTGTATGTTGCTCATGCAGACTTGAATATCCAATCGAACTGGTTGGATATCCTTCCTAACTAATATGAGTACTCCGCCACCCTGCAGCTGCGGACTCCGATCTTGTCTACGAAACTCAGGCTTCACGAGCTAGTGCCGGGACATGGTCGTGACTAATGAGCCATGATTCTCAGACGGCTACTACAGTCGCTTTGTGTTCATTTCCTATGTTTAGGGTTTCTCTCTACTTATTCCTTATACTGCATACATTTGTACATAGAACCACAACTTTACCGTCCCGTACATCTAACTCCCTCCAGACTCTTAATTTTCCTGTTCTCGCGTGACCCTCGGACGCAGTACCCGAGGGAACAACAAGTGTTTTGACGTATCTGTAAGTTGTTCCATAAATGTACCTGTTTTACGTCCTAAGGCCGAGATCATCTCGCTGGGCGTTGAAGTTGTTCTGAGCGGTATAGTGAATCCGGAGCCATCTACGGATCTATCCCTGTCCTTACTCACCTCTGACTCCGGCTGTACGCAACTTTGCCACTGCTCGTTTTCTAAGACATCCTCTACGACTACGACAGGGGATAGTCTACCCATTCCTATCTGCGATGGATTCTGTTTCTTAAGTTGGAGGTTCAATCACTTCCGCTCAACCGGCCATACGTTGCTGTTCGGTTTTCATGTGTTCTGACTCCTGGAAATGTCAGGCGCTACTTTATACCTCCCCAGGTAGCATCCAAAATTCCCTGGGAGTCTGCAGGCAGATTATCTCTACAAGTTGGTTCCACGAAATCAAAAAGCAGGAGTCTGACCCTGCGAAATCCCGCTGGTTCCGGGTTCTTCCAGATACCCACCCCATGTATCCTCCTTATGCTAACGGGTGGCATACCAGCCCGGAGGACATCCTTAACTCTTCGCCAGTCCATTTCTCGACGAATCTTAGATTCTTTTATGAACGGTTCTCAGCCGTTCAAGATCAAGACCGTCCTTTGTCTAAATCCCGCTACATTCGCCTTTCTTCTCAAGAACTCTAGGTTCGTCTGGACTTCGCGCAGCTGCCCTTCCAGGGATTAAAGTGTGCCTGCGCGGTCGTCCTGTACTCGCTTCCTATGTATTCCTGATTCAGCAACCTGAGGCTTTTTCTCTACGCCACGGTGCTTCAGCTGATGACTCGTTTTGGCTTTAGGGTCCGGGTTCGGCGTTTTCAGACCAACAGCCTTAATCAAAGCTGGATCACCAACATTCATTTCAACTTCTTTCGTGGCTGAAACTTCGGCGTACGTCCTCGCCTTGTCTCGAGTGACAGGTGCATCATCCTGCACTGCTACTGGTGTGCGCTGTGCTGAGACTACCTCTGATCGTGCCATAACCAGCGCATTTACGGCTGCTCGAAAGCAATGAGGACAAACCCATTGTAACCCTGTGCTTTGACGATGGAATGCGTAAAGTTCTGGTTTTAGGCCAGAGCATTTCTTACGCGCCCACATGTAGCACACATCGCAGTCTATACCTTTCACGGCCGGCTTCCCACCACTAAAACTTAGACATGGAAACGCTGCTCGTGGCATGTCAAAAAAGAACGATAAAAACGTAATACAGCAATGGGTTACAGCACCTGGAAACCTTCAAAAAACGCTATACGAAAAATTCAGATACAAATACTGTATAGGTAATGCGGCCCTTTAAGAGGTCGCAGTAAATATGCTACACACGCCCTTAGACAAAGTTACTGTGAGTAAAATGTGAAATGTCGTAAGATATTCCACGGAACTATTACCAAAAGGATTTTCAACGAGAGCACTTCAAATTTCAAACCGCGCACGAACGTTTCCTGCTTAATTTCAGAACACGTTTAGTGTGCCGAACGCTTATAAATACCACATTCCTCTGACCATTTGCTTCCCACATGCAATAGCCAAACAAGGGAAAGCAACCTTAGGCATGTTAACACGAGAAAAAAATCTACGCAAAAAAACTTTGGGTTTGCTCTGTAAACGTCACTAAATAAAACAACTAGTGACGCTTGTATCGGAATTTAGGTTAAATTCCAAGAAAACGACCATAAAAGGAACTAAAACTTTCACTCTTGATCTGTGCTGTTAACAATTTAAAAAATAATATCTTACTGATACTTTCTTAATACACAAGTTGTCAGTAAATTGTTATGAACAGTTTATTGACGAATACACACTGAAAATCGTTTGGATAAATAAAAGCAGCGAGGAATACAACCTTGGCGGTACGTTGGAACTGGTTGCGTGCATTTTGCTCTCTGGTCAAATCGTGAAATTTTGAAGTTTTTATTGTGTGAAACCAAATATATTGTGGTTTCCCTATGGTATTATACTTCAATAAGTGTGGTTATATCGTTTTTGCACTGTTTTCTGGTGTTTACCATTGTTTTTGAAAAGGTTTTAGCCATTTCGAATTTTGGTTTACACGAAATTTGAATTATTTCAGACTTCGCACGTGTTTAGGTATGCTTTGGTCTACTTTCTTTTGCTCTAAACCTTGCTATCTATAGTAAGATGCCTTGAGCCGCCTTTTCATGCTTGAGTGAGAATTGCGGAAAGCGGGTGGTAAAAGGCATAGAATGTGAGGTTTGTGGGAGATGGGTTCATTCAAACTGCTCTGGGATAACACCAGAATGATATGCTCTGTACTGCAAAGACCCAGGGTTACAATGGGTATGTAAATCTTGCCTAAACATAGCGAAAGAGACATTGCTAAAGACCGTTGCCAAGGGGTTACCTGCAGAGATAGTATCGGCTATCAACCTTGCCAAAGGGAGCAAGAAACCAAATCCTCCAAAAGCGTACGCGGATGCAGCGAAAGCCAATGCTGACACCACCAACCGGGTTTGCAAGGTGACTAGCAAAGGCAAAACAGCAGTCGGTTCTGCTGTACCGCGTATAGTCAGAATACCCATTGCCAAAGCCACTAGAGTTAAGCCTTTTGACAAAGGCACGAGTAAACCCATTAGGATAAAGGAAAACATCCTTGATGAACTAGAAGGTCAATTAAAGATGATCAGTGATCGACTTAGGTCACTGAAAGCAAGCGGAGGCGGCCTAACTGGGGTTCATAGAATCCTTGTGATTCTTGACAACGAAGAGCCGCTGGTTAAAGAAACAAAAGTCCGCCGGGACATGGATAGAAGAAGAGTGCTAGATATCCTGAGGATAGCTGGCATGGAGAGGTGTATACTTAAAAGGGTTCATATAGTAGGTGCCTGGAGGACGCCGACTAATGCTGAACCCCGAACGGCTAGGCCACTTTTAGTGGAATTCGCCAAACAATCCAGTATAAATCAACTAATGGCCAATTTTGGGAAAATATTTCACGTAACACGGGGTAGGTACGAGATAACCCCGGATGTGCCTAGGGCTCTTAGATTGCAAGGTGTTGGAGCACCAAGAATGCACCATAACCTGACGAGCCATTTCGGGGTGACAGGCGGCAGCCGATCTTCAGCGACCGGCGTAGACAAAGGGTTACTAGTATTAGTGATCGAAGATGTTATGGAGGACGAGGAGGAGTAAAGCTGTCTCGTCACCGAGACAGCCGCAAGCAGTCCTGTCGTCCTTGGAGCCGAGGCTGTAGCAAACACTCCATTGAAGAGAATGTCTACCCCGATAGAAACCCCTGTATACTTGAAATCATCCTTTCTATGGGGAAGTAAGCTGGATGAAGGGAGCAAGACGTCAAAAAACTTGCTACTTGGAGTAAACAGAGAGCCCGGTAACCCATCCACGGCAAGCTGTCGGTTACTTGTAACCAACACTTGCAGTATTAGAAAAAAGTGGATGAACTTATTGCAGCACCATGTGACCTGAATGCAATTGTAAAAGCTGTATCGGAAACATGGCTTAAGGACAACAATAGGACACAAGGTTTAGTGCTAGAAAGATTTGCCATTCACAGGCAGGATCGGTCTTTAGCACCAGGAGGAGGGGTGGTCTTACTCGTAAGGAAGGTCACTGTACACATGGTGTTGCGTCCGCTTGAGCTCGTAAGTCCAATATGCGTATTAAATTACACCAACACCGTGATCTAGCACGAACGGGCTTAAACTTTGCAATAACGACCACTCCTCAACTGGAATGAGCAAATTCGCACACGCTATCGACGATAAATTCCGAACTGGAACGAACGTATTACAACCGATAACGAAGAACGATCCCAAGTAACCGAAACCGACGAGAATGAGCAATGAAAAACACGAATATAGACAGTTGATCATAACGCTTATACGGCAAATAAAACACATAATAAATTGTACAAATAGGAAAAATCATACTTGGATGTATGCTCACCCAAGCAGAACGCAGAAAACAGTCGATCGAAAATGTACACCAAGCTCAACCGAGCTGACCAAGCAATATGTCCCTGGTCGAACGTCGAAAACGTTATGTTGGAACGTTTAAACAAACAGGAAAGTACAAACAGCAAAGAGTGGAAATGACAAGAAACAAACAGTAATAAAGAAGAATACAAAACCTTTCGTTTTACTTACGGTGCATCAGCTGCCGTAACACATGGTTTGTTGAGTTTCGGTGAGCCTGCACAGTTGTGGTAATCGTAGAAGTAGTAGTAGCGAAATTACGCACAGAATTCAGGACACGAACTACGCAATAGGAATCATGGAACACGAATCAGAAATCCCGTGGCACTAGACCGCAATGGCTCAAACTCGCAATAACCCGCAGGATTGAGACGCGAGGAAAAAAGGCCACAAGACAGGCGAATCACAAAGTCGTTTATTGAAGGAAATGAAAATGAATATGTATGTGCACAAGAAAAGATCATTGGCTTCCTTAGTCTCCATCAATCATATTGCGTCACATCTTGCGTCATACTGCTCTTCTCTGCATTGCATATGATTGGCTGGAACGGTCCACCAACGACGTGTATCCGGGGGCTGTGCACGTGCTACTGGCGTCGGCGCTCAAGGTCGATTGACTACCAATGTCCGGAAACTGTACCGATCTATTAGTTCAAGGATCAGTAAAGCTGTACATAGTAGGTGACTTTAACTTACCCGATATAGATTGGATGGTAGGTATGTGCAGGCGGGAAGGTATTTACAGTGGATAAACACGAAGGCACTCATCCAGCATATTGCATTCTGCACCCTCGGGGACAGACGTAGCGGAGGAACTACGTGTAACGGTCGCGCAATTATCTAAGGTACCAGGCTCTCTTAAGGTATCCAAGGCGACAGGACCAGAAGGAATCAGCCCAGCGATCCTCAAACCGATTGCTGACTTAATTGGGAGGCCGATTTGCAGAATTTTTAGGACATCACTAGCTGGAGGTATATTACCGTCTGACTGGAAAACGGCCTCTGTAGTAGCCATACACAAGAGCCGTAAGAAGACAAATGTAAAAAACTATCGACCTGTTAGCTTAATCAGTGTACAATGTGAGGTACTGGAAAAGATAGTTAAAATGTATCTAGTGAAACATCTGGAGCGTAACATACTGATGACAGAGACACAGCATTGTTTCGTTGAACAAAGTTCATGCCTAACAAACCTTTTGTCCTTTTTGGAGGATGTCACTGCGAAAATGGATGAGGGTAAAACCGTAGAGGTTTACTATCTGGATTTCAGCAAGGCTTTTGATTCAGTGAATCATCGCCTGCTATTGACCAGATTAGAACGATTTGGAATCCAAGGACACTAATACAGGTGGATAAGTGCCTTTCTCTCACAGCGATCATTCTATGTGACGGTTGGTGAGAACAGGTCTGAAGCTAACCAGAGTTGACGGCCTTCCGGTATGTCTTCTTACGAGTCTCAGTATGC